AAATGAAATTGAAAATGTAGTTAAAAACTTAGCAACGAAAAAAGCCCTGGTCCAGATGGATTTACTGCTGAATTCTTCAAGAAATTTATAGAAGTTTTAATGCCACCACTGATGAAACTTTACCAAAATTGGGAGGGAAGCAATACTCCCAAAGTTATTCCTAGAGGAAAGCATTACCTGGATAAAAAAAAAAAAAAAAAAAAAAAAAAAAAAAAAGACCAACCAAAAAAGAGAACTATAGGCCAGAAGTCCTCAATGAGATAGTGACAAATAGAATGCAGCAAATCTGCAAAAATATTGTACACCATGACCAGGTAGGATTCAACTCATGCATGGATGGTTCAACATACACAATTCAATAAATGTAATACACTATATCAATGGAGACAAAGACAAAAGTCAATAGATGCAGAAAAAAATTAACAAATTCCAACACACAGGCATGATAAAAACCCTACAGAAAATTGGAATACATTGTCTTTATCTCAATCTGATAAAGGCTGTCTATGACAATCCAAGAGCTAACATCGTACTAAATGGCCAAAAACTGAAAGCTTTCACTCTAAAATCATGAATAAGACAAGATGTCCACTATCACCACTCCTATTCAGCAAACATTACCCAGAGCAATTAGATAAGAAAAAGAAATAATTGAAAGAAGATAGAAAAGGGAAAAGTTAAATTATCATTACTTGCAGATGACTGATACTCTACATAGAAGATACCAAACACTCCACCAAAGGACTTATAGAGTTAATAACTCAATTTAGTAGTGTAGCTGGATACAAAGTCAGCACTCTAAAATCAATTGTATTTCTGTACTCCAGCAACAAATGCAGTGAGAGAGAAATTAGGGAAATAACACCTTTCAAAATACCATTCAAAAACAGAAATACTTAGGAACGAATCTAACAAAGTTAAAGATCTATACATTGAATTACAGTACCATGAAAAAGGAGATCAAAGATGATACCAGAAAATCCAAAGATAACGCTTGCTCATGTATAGAAAGAACCAAAGTAGTGAAAATGGCCATACTGCCAAAATTCTTATACAGATTTAATGCAATCCCAAGCAAAATACCATTAGCACACCTCATAGAAGTAGAGAAAAAATGCTAAAATCCATTTGGAACCAGAAGAGACCTAGAAGAGTAAAAACAATCCTAGGCAATAAAAACAAGGCAGTAGACATCACAATCCCTGACTTAAAATTATACTACAAAGCTACTGTGATGAAAACAGCATGGTACTGGCAATAAGATAGACCTGAGGATCAGTGGAACAGATTAGAAGTTGTATAAACAATCCCACATGCATTCAACTACCTTTGAAAACGGGGCCAAATACATTCCCTGAAAGAAAGATAGCCTCTTTAAAAAATAGTGCAGGAGAAACTGACTTTCCACATGCTGAAGACTAAAACTAGACCTATGTCTAGCACCATTCACTAAACTAAAGTCAAAGTGGATCAAAGATCTAAATATTAAAACAGAAACACTAAGTCTTCTGGAAGAAAGAATGGGTAGAACTCTTGAAGAAACAGATGACAAACATTTCATGAACAAAACCCCAACTACGTAGGAAATACTATAAAGAATCAGTAACTGGGATCTCATCCTATTAAACTTTTGCTCAGGAAAAGAAATTACCAATAGAGTAAAAAGATAAACAGTGGACTTATATCTAGAGCATATAAAAAATTGAAAAAGTCAGACCCCCTAAATTTAGAGACCCACTCCAAAACTGGACATCTGAGATGAATATTCACTTCTCAGAGGAAGAAATACAAATAGCAAATAAATGTATGAGAAAATGTTCAACATCACTGGTCATTTGAGACATGCAAATTAAGACTGCTAAGATTCCATTTCAACCCAGAAACAATGGCTATTATCAAGAAATTAACCAATAACAAATGATAGAGGGGCTGTGGAGGAAAAGAACTGTTGGTGGGAGTGTAGACTGGTGCAACTACTGTGGAAATCAGTGTGGAGATTACTCGAAAAACTAGGACCAGAGACCTCATTTGATCCAGCTATTCTCCTTCTTGGTATCTGTCTTAGTTACTTTTTTCTCATTGCTGAGACAAAATACCTGATGCCCAAAATTAAGGAAGGAAAGGTTTATTTAGCTCACAGTTTGTGGAGGTTTTAGTCTGTAATCAGCTGGCTCCAAGGCAGGGTGGCATGGCACAGGGCAACACTTCAAGGTGGCAGAAGACAGCAAAAGTAGCAAAAGCAAAAGCGGGGAGAGCAAGCCTCTTTTCCTGCCTTATACTGTAAGAAGGTCACCACCTCCTAGGGCAGGTGTAGCACTTACATCATCTCCATGCCCTCCTCTTGCATAGGATGAGGATGTTTACAAAGTGAGGACCCTGACCCCCTGCTCAGTTGCTTAAACTTCTGAACTTTTCAAGTTGACACAGTGTGTCAACCATTACAATCCATCCCTTGTCTTTTTTTTTTTTTTTTTGTACTGGGAATTGAACTCATAACCTCAGGCTTGCCAGGCAAGTGCTTATGGTGCTGAGCTATATCCCCAGCTCCACCCCTTGTCAACTTGGCAACCAGACACATTTCTTTAAACTGGTCTCTAGATACAAAAACATGCTTAGTATTATCATTTCACAACTTGAACATTATAACACAGGTTAAACATTCCTTAAGAACCAGTATTAAGTCTGTCAACATCATATTACATTAGAACTGTAACATTCTATCCCTGTCCCCCCAAAGGTTCATGAAGTCCCTTTATGCAAAAAGCATTTAGTCCATCTCTAATAGTTGCCAAAGTCCTAAGAGTTTCAGCATTGCTGAAAAGTCCAAGTCCCAAGTCCCCCCTGCCAAGATGTAAGGCAAACTTTTAGTTGCAAACCTCTGTACAAATGAAAAGAAACTTAAACACTTCCAGCATTCAATGGTACAAGATAAACATTTTCCTTCCTAAAGTTACAAATAGAGGAATGCAAAGGATTGGGACCAAAGCAAGCCCAAAATCCAGCACAGCAAACATTAAGTCCTGTAGTTCCATGTGCAGCATCTGAAGCAATCTGTGGCACATTGTAAGCTCCAAAGAGCTGAGTGACTTCATCCCTACAGCACTTCCGGTGGTTACTGCTCCCATGGCTTCTCTCTTAGGCTTACTTTGCTCCCTCCTTGCAGCTTTCCTTAGATGATCCACATTCTTAGCTTTCCAAACTTCTGGGGTCTCCACTGAACTTTTGGCTTCACACTCACAGCTTCACACCCAGCCCTCACAGCACACTTCCTGACTTCCCAGGCCCTCTGAAATCAAGGTGGAAGCCTTCTTAACCCCACAACTCTTGCATTTTGCAGGCACCAAAGACCAGCACCACATGGATGATGCCAAGGTCTGCTGCCAGATGGAGCAGTAGTCAAGCTTCCCTCTCTCTTGGCTATAGCGGTCGAGTGCCTGGATCACTGGGCACTCTGAATCCAGTTCTGAAGAACAAATTTTCTATGTTACCACCATTCTGGAACATGGTGCTTTGTGGCTTTATTCTCAGAGCGAAGTCTTTCACTTTTGCAGTTTTGAGGCTGAAAAGGAGACTTGCTGCTTCTTGTGATGCCTTCAGGCCATCTTTTATATTGTTCCTTCTCAGTAATCGAGATCTCCTCAGCTCTATCTCTGTAGTTCACAATTTTACTGGAGCTTCCTATATGGCCAAACTCACATTTTAAATTATCCTGCTGGGTACTTTTCTCTTGATTCACAACATAAATCTGGCTAAAAGCCCTCAACAATAGCCCTGCCACCACCTCAACATTTGACTGCCTTGAACTTCTTCTGCCAGATTAATTAGTCTACTGCCCTTAATCTCAGTCTCATGCAGTCTCTGCACACACGAAAAATGCAAACAAACTTTCTGCAAAGCCGTAACACACATCATCTGGAGTCCAGCACCCAATGTAGTCCTTCTTTCCAGCAGAAACCTCAGTTTTGGAGGTGGGACACCAGGCCTCTTGACAGTGTCCCTGGTGCCCCATTTGCTTTCTTTGCCAGGTTCACTGAACTTCTGGTTTGGTGTCCTCCTACATGGTTTGGAGCTTTGTGTTTTGTTTTTAAATAGCAGTAAGCCATATTTACTATCAGTGCCTATGTGAGTTACTATAATGTGTAGTAAATGACCTCAAAAATCAGTGTCTCGAAGCAAGATTTACTTTGTTCACAGTTGGCATTTGACCAGTTCCTCCTTCTCTTGCTTGGCATCAATGTGGTAACTCAAAGCTGGGGCCTAGAGTCATCCAGACTGTTCCTTCCCTGTGTGGAGCTGGAACTAGCTTGGATGGACCTGCAGGAGGGGCAGCTGATGGACCAGCAGCATGAGGACCCCTTCAGTGTGGGGGTTGGATTCTCAGGTGACCTTCCCTAAAGAAATTTGGGTTGAAGCTTCTCACATTCTCTAACCTCACCTTAGAGACCGTACAGCCGGTTCACCCTGTAGACTTGCTTTGAAACTGGAACTCTAAATAGTCATTTATATCCAAAGGAGAGTAAAATTCCAATTCCATATCGCTGAAATCTCACCAAGCTGTGTTGTTTAGTATGCTCTCTTACCCATGTGGGCAGAATCAGAAGATCACAAGATAATGCTGTTATTGAATTGTCTTCTTTTTTCAAAAATAATGTATGGATCATATTGCTATTATATTTGGAAATGCCGTTGCTACTTACAGAGAATTATGACTTATGGAATGCAATTTAAATTAACATAAAACACTTGCTGTTCAGAAAAAGACCAGTGACAACACATTCTACATTTTCAAGATTCATGTATTACAGTCTTATTTTCTAAATCTTTCTGGGTCACCAGAATCCTATAGAACTACTCAGTTAAGTCTGCAGTTATAGCACAGAAATTGCCATAAAAAGCATGCAGATAAAGGAGTATCATGTTCCAGTATAATTTATCACTAAAAAAGAAAACTGGGCAGGTTTATACTAAATTATTAGTAATTTTTTTATTCTTTGTTTCAGCTGCAAGAAGCACATGATCAACACAAAGGGACTGTACGAACTGCTGAGTAAGGTTGCCTATAAAAGTATAATTTAAAGAACATATAAAACAACTTGAGTATATATAAAGCAAATGAACTGGCAACATGAGAATAAGATCAGTTATGATATAAATACATGTGGGTTAAGCCACGGAAAAACTTCATCTGAAGTACTTGAAATCTCTAATGTAGGGCTTGGGCTGGAGCTAAGTCATGAGTATGAGCTTTGCATGCTTGAGGCCTTGAGCTTGACAGTCCTCAATTCCCAGGACTATTAAAAAAAAAAAAAAACAAGAAAAAATGTAATGCATAATTTTGAAACATTATCCCTAAATTTTGCATATTATTCACAAAATGCACTAGAAAAGTGATAGTTACCAGATCATCTCCTTCTCAAAATTTTAATAATGTATATAATTATTGTTTCAGATGTTTGCTCAGAAATTAAGTGGCGTGTTCTAAATTGATGTGTAAAAGTAATTTTTCCAAATACATTCTAGGCTTGAACTTGAAAATTCCAAATTAAAAGTTATAATAGAAAAACAAACAGTGGAAAATCAGCAGCTTCAGAAAAACCTGTTGAGTACAAATATGGTAAGTCAATCTGTGAGTAGCTTTTGTCAGTTTAAAAAGGAGTTTATATTTCCCTAGTAGTAGCATACAGGAATTTTAGGTAAAATGAAAAGTCTCATTAAAATATTTGTTGTATACATACTGACACTACTTTCTAGTAGTACTGCAAGTCCTCGTAGTAGAAGGTAACTGAATTCACAAAATTGATACTTTTGGTAGTAGAATTTTAGTCTAAAAGATTGTGATAGTCTAAAATCAAGGTTTTATTCTTACCACATTTCATTTATCCATCATCCACTGATGGTCATGTGGGTCATTTCCACCTTTTGGCTCCTGTGAATATTGCCTCTTTGGGCCTGGATGTCTAGCTATGTGTTTGGGTCACTGCTGATCTGTTAAAATAGTTTTTAAAATCTCAAGAAATGTCTGTAATTATTTGATTCAGAATTTTTAATTTCTCGTAACATAAGACTTACAGTGCGGTTATGGGAGTGAGTTATTTGTAAGCTGTGTTCTTCATCAAGAATAAATACTAGGTTCTTATACAGATGGTCTCTTCCAGAGGAATGTGCCTTCTATTTGGATTTTAAAAAGGAAAAGAGATGACAGCGAAAAAGGTCTGTATCTGGATTTAAAAAGACAATTTCTTCTGCAGGAGCTATTGTCTCTGAAAACTATAGAAAAGAAATGTTTAAAGCTACAGAAAAGTAAAAAGAAGATGGAACAAGAAGTAGTAACCCTCAAATGTCACATAGAAAATAATGTGGTAGAACATGGCAGAGTACAACAATATAAACAGGAGATTGAAGCAAGAGCAAGGCAAGACTTAGAAGAAAAATTAAAACAAGTCAATGAGTTTCTACAGGTAGTTTTTATGTGTACTATGCTTTATTTCACTGAAGAGTGTATTTGGATGTGTGCATTATATGCGGTTCCTCTACTTGTGTCATAGCAACTTTTTGCAGATTTCTAGAAGGAAGATAACACCTCTCTTTCTCTTTAACTATTTAAATTTCCATAGATAAGTTGGTCTTTCAGAATAATGATTTTCATTAGAGAATCATTATACCTTTAAGACCTCTTGGCATAAAACAATACTCAGGAAGAAAAGAAAAAATGTGATGTGCAAATGGTACCATTCTCTTGAATTGTTCTTAGGTTATATTGTTCATCTTTTAAGATTAGAAACGGTTCTGTTACTCTCTGATGAATCACATTACATGAACACTAACCTAGGGGTGCTTCAGAGCTGAGGACACAGCTCAGCGGTAGAGCAGCTGCGCATCAGGCACAAGACTGTGTGTTGGCCCCTCACCGCTCCTGGTGTGTAGGGGGGATTTCAATCTTTTCAAATTCAGATTTAATAGTTGATATTAATCACGACTACCTTTAACCCTGACATCTTCTTTGCCTATCTTTAAAACTGTTCTCTGAATCACTAACTCAAAACTGGAGGAAACAGCGGGGCAGGATACATAGCTCGGTGGTAGACTGCCGGCCCAGCGTGTGCCAGGCCCTGAGTGCAATGTTTTAAAAATCCTACAGGAAAGAAATAACACAGTAATTATTTGAGTTTTAATTATTTTGAAAACATGTCCTTTAAATTTGCCTAGACACAAGCAGAAATAAGAAGTCAGATGGAAGTAAAAATCAAATGTCTGGAAACTGAACTGTCTGAAATGAAGGCTCAAGAAGAGTCGTATAAAATACAGCTGAACGTGTATCAGGAAACCTGTCTGAAAGGGTTCGAAATTACAAGGTCACTGTCAAATCAACTGAAGACGTAAGTCAAAACAGAGACTCACAGAAAGCAAATTCAGCACATTGCTTTGTCTCTGAAACGTAATTGTGAGTGAGACAGATTCGTGGAATTAGAAGATGTGAAAGCTAACCAGATGATGTAATTTTGGAAAATAATGATATAAAAGAATTTGCCTTTAAAATGTTAATTCAGGATATATCTCTTCCATGTTTTAATTTTTCTATGGTTTTTTTTCCCTTAATATTCTCATATATTGATTTTTAGTCTTTCATCTAAATAGTTTAGAAGTTGTATGACTAAGACTGTTATACTGTTGTAAAATTGTTTGTTAGCCTTCCTTGAAATAGAAATGCTGAGAAATTTAACTACTTTTGGGATGATTTCAACCCAAGTCCAAAGACTCGGGCACTCCTAACGCAGCTGGGTCAAGCGCTACTAACAGAGTTGCTGGGGGCATGTGCTGGATTAAATTTCCTCCACCGGGACCTTCGGTGAGGTCAGCAAAGGCCTGCGAATGGCTCCCAGGGCGGGCTTCTGAAATCCCTGCGCGGGCTTATTGCGTTTTTCTAGCTTTTCTTGGCTCCGTTTTATTTTTTCAGTTGTGGATGTTTATGACGTTGTAATATGTGTGCACAAGGCAGTGGCTGGTACAGTGCAGCAAACTTCCATCCCCGGCCTCTGGCCCTTAACTGGGTGTGCTGATGGTGTAGGCAGAGCCCCTGGGGAGGCGGGGTTTCCTGCCGAGCCGTCCGGGGGCAGCCGTCCTCACACCTTCTGCCCTGCGTGAATCCCTGTTGGTTAGGGACCCCCTTAGTATGTGCACAGCGTGTGCACTTCTTTGGGGCACTTTTGACGTGTCCGTGTGCACAGTGGGAGTGTCCGACACATTTTAAAGGTTAAGACACTGATCAATGGAAATCCTCTTTACACTCGGTAGCAAATTTTTTAAAAATGCAGTCGCTTAGTACTGCAGGGGAAACGAGACACTAGGTATGTGCCTTTTCCAATCTCCACAGGGCCAATGAGAAGCTCGAGGAGGCTGGCAGAGAACTTCTCGCGGAGAAACGGCGGAACAGACACGCACGGGAAACTCACAGTGCGAGGCCCCTGCTCGAATTCCCTTATGTTGGGATTCATAATAGCAGTTTGGTTCTCAACCAGAGATTTATTCCCGGTGGAAACTTAGTGGCTCCTGCCTCAGACTCATGGCCTTCGAATGAGAGTATGCAGAACCTTGAGACCAGGGTTAGTTATAGTATGCTTTTTCCTTTATGTTTCGGATTTCTGATATAATTCTTTTTGTTAAGTGTGTGAAAAACTGCGTTGTTTAGTTGACTTATGCACGTTAAGGACAAATAATTTGTTGTTAAAGAACTAAAACAGAAATGTTATAATTTTTTTTTGAAAAATCTGTGGGGAGCCCAGCATGGTGACACATGTCTGAAATCCCAGCACTTGGAGACTGAGACAGGAGGATCACCAAGAGTTCAAAACCAGCCTGAACTACATAGCAAAACACTGTCTCAAAAAATAAATATCTATCCCTGGCATTCTCACTTCTGAGAGATTCTCATTTAACTTGATTCAGTGACTGTAACTAAACTGATGTATTTTAACTTTCTTTAAAATCTACATTTAAATTAGATTTTAGAAAGTGAACATTACAGCTTCTAACTAACTATATAGGTTGTGATGCAATTTTTAAAATGTTTTCCAATTTTAGAAAAGCTAAAACTTATCTTTCTAAAGTTTTTTTCTTCATGTTCAAGGGTAGATTAGTCCTTGTACGCCAACACAATGTGTGACATGCAATAGTCACTCACTAAATATTTTCAGTGGGAGGGATTTTTTTTCTCACCATGCTAGGGACTGGATCTGGGCTTTGTGCTTGCTAAGCAGGGGCTCTACTACTAAGCTCTGAACCAAGGCTAATTTTTACATTGTTATGTTTTGTATTTTTTGGTGCATTTCTGACACTTTCAAAAATTTTCTAATGTTTTAATTTTTTTTCTTCTTAAACATCCAGTCAGTTTAGTATCTTTTATTCTATCTGATGGTATCCAAAGCCATCAAAGTCAAGAGAAGATTCCTAAAACTTTAACTTTTTACATGACAGAGCATTGTGTCTCAGTCAACTGTCAAATTGCATTTCTTTCCAACTAATAAAAACCTTATTTGGCTCACCAAGAGTGTGTACTCACTCTGAATTTTAAGTTTAATCACACTATCCTAATAGTTACGCTTGTCACTCAGCGGGCAGAGACAGTTAAATAAATGTGTTTATTATGTCATTCTAGTGTTACAATTCTTTGTCTTTACTTTGTTTCCTCAACTAACACATACACCCAGTAGTCATTTTGTCCTGTGAAAGTTTCAGGTAATCTTTTGACTTCTTCCATTTTTTTTTCATTTCATTTATTTTATTTTTCCACAAGGTGCTTCTGTTGGTTTTGTTTTGTGTTGTGTTGTTTTGTTTTTGAGTCTGGTTCTCACTGTGTAATCCAGGCTGCCCTTGAACTCACTGTGCAGCCCAGGCTGGCCTTGAACTTGGGGGAGTCCTCCTGTGCCAGCTTCCCAAGTGCTGGGATTTACAGGCATGTGCTACCACACCTGGTTTTCCACAAGATCTTTTTTTTTTGATACCAGGAATTGAACTCAGGACCTTGCCTTACCAGGCAGATGCTTGTGCCGCTGAGCTATATCCCCAGCTCCTATGAGATCTTTATATGTGCAAATTTATACTTAAATTTATACTCCACCTTGTCAGTCAGCAAACTGTTCCGCAGTTCTTGTTGGGGAGGCCAAAATACAAATATTTAATATTTATAAACTAACAAGGGTAATTTCTTTCATACATTGTCCAATTTACAAATTGATATTGAATTACAGTGGCTTAAGAAGTAAACTTCATTGATCTTATTACATTTGAGTGGATATTTATTCTTATAACCATGAGTTATAAGAACAGAATGACATCAAATTTAAACTTAGAAAATCAATATTTACTGCAGTATATTCCTGTAGAAAGTGTGTGTGTGTGTGTGTGTGTGTGTGTGTGGTGTTCATGTATTTATCAGACAGTTCTCAACGTGACAATGTGCCGTTATTTTCCAACTATACTCAGCTGTTAGCAGTAGCCCTCTTGGCTGTGCTTTGTTATTGTTGATTTCACTGTATTTCTCTGTCTAAAACCTTTCCAACTTTCACTTCTTAAAATGGGTGTTGCCTTGAAGAGCAGACAGTAAGTTTACACAGTGAAGAACACCACGCCTCCGTAGGCGTCACCGAGTCCGCTATGCCTGAAGCTGACGGGCCAGGCAGCACACGACACCTCTCTTCCTGCTGAGCTCAGGCCTAGGGATCAGACAGGTGGAGCCCAGTGTACAGCGCTGGCTTTGTCAACGCGCATGACTAAGGGGAGTGGCTTAGCTGTGCAGCACCCACGGGCCCCCAAACTCTTCGCTGCAGGTCGGACTCTGACACACCCGTAAGCGCAGGAAGCAGATGCCTGACATCTGGCCCCGGAGCAGGACGCCCACTGCGGAGATGCCAGCAGGTCTGCGTGCATGTGCAAAGCATGTCTTCATCCGGTTTCCCCCGCGAGGTAAACCTCTCGTGAGGAAGGCAGAATGTAATCCTCCCAGGGACACTTGAGGGCAGGGAGAGAATGGTCTCCTGTCCTTTGTGCTTGGATTTAAAGTGGAAACTGAGCCCAGGTCATTGTGCATCCAATTAGTGATGTTAAACTGGTAGAAGTATGCCAGAAACCTGCTTAGTGTTTTTAATGTTTCCGTGAATAACCCACAGCATGGGTAATTCATTTGTTTACTGATTTATCTTAGACCACTTTTACTTAGATAAAATGCATAGTTCTTACGAGGAAGAATATCCTAAATTTCAGCTGTGTTGGTTCAAATAAAAACTTTCTCCTTCGTTTCCTGTTCTGTGGTTTTAAAAATGTCCACTTTATAAATGGAGGAGTTACTGTACTAAGTTGTATTCCTTTATTTTTATGCTTAACTTTAGAGCTAACAATTAACTACTTTATGTCTCGTGCTTCCACAGCAACGGGCTCCAGGACACTTTCACATACACATTTTCTCTGAGTTATATTTTTAAATCTGTGGATTTTTCCTGAAGGAAGAGGACTTACAGCCATTCCGGGCCTGAGGCAATGGGCTTTAATGCCTCTGAGAGAGAAGTGTGCTGGCTCTAAAACCAGAGATCTTGTGACTTTAATGTCTTGCAATTTTTTTTTCAAATAATAGGCCTTTTTAAAAGGTGTTTTGCGTGCAGCTATTATATTCAGTAGACAGAAGTAGTTATCCGGCGCTGAAGGTGGGGGCCTCTGAAACTTGGCTCCTGCGGCCCCTCATCCTGCAGGGTCCTCTGTGGAAACAGATTTCTGATGGGGTGGTGTGAAGACTGGCAGCCAGAAGCTAACACACCGGTACGTTACCATATCGTACACGATTTCCCTCCTCCTTATGTTCTTGAAAAATGAAAAAGTGTAAGTGAAGTTCAGATGCGCTCCTCTCAGGAAGACTGGACTTTGAGGATCCTCCACTCTGAAACACAGTCCCCACCTAGCAGTAATCACAAAGGCTGCAGGAAGCATGCTACTATTTAAAATATAGATTCTACTCGAGGGCTGATACAGCTTCTGATGTTAGCATGATGCATAAAGAGAAGACTTACAAGTCATGAAGATTTTCTGTTTCCTTTGGCGACGTTCAGTTTCTCCTCAGCTGTTAGCCCGCAGAAGCCTTTGGCGGCAGCACGAACATGAGAGTACGGTGGTTGATGTCGCTAAGCCACTTCCTCTCTTTTCCTTCCACAGCCTTTGCCAGACACTACTGTACTGAGCCGTTCACCTGGCGATCACAACTCTGAATTTCTACTAAGGGAAATACGACAAAGCTGTGTAACTCAATGGGAAACCAGTCATCCACCGGAAGGGAATTTTTAAAAAGTTACTTAATGTTGGCCAGCTTTCACGTCTGTACAGAACCACCACATCCGCCCACTGGCCTGGACAAAACTGGGCCCTTCGAGGGGCTGGGGATTTAGCTCAGCGGCACAGTGCCTGCCTGGCAAGCACAAGGTCCTGAGTTCAATTCCCAGTACCGGGGCGGGGGGGGGGGGACAAAACTGGGCCCTCCGGTATTCAAGCCCCCTAAGTGAGCCTGTGGGTGCTCCTCCCTCCCAGAGTCCCAGGTCCCCTGACCTTCCGTCTGCTCCACACCATCTTTCCCCAGAGAGCCTCCCTTCCGTCATTCATAGTGGAGAGTAATGAGGTGCGGCTGAAAGGCTGGGAGAGAATTTAAGAAAGAGGAGGCAACTCCACGGGGGCATAGAGGGAGCACCTTCTACCGGGCGCTACGTGAGAGGATGGAGGAAAATAAGGCCTCTACTTAAATCGCTGGCCATGAGTATCCTCTATCAGAGAGCAAAGATTTCTTTGGTACAAGGCTGGGCACGCTGCTTAGCGGTAGGGAGCATTTTTAGCATCCGTGAGGGCCTGGATTTAACCGCCAGCACCAAGAAGACAGGAGGAGGGGAGAAGGGGAAAGAAAAGAGAGAGAGCAAAAACCAAGAAGCAAGTGAAAGACAGGATTTCTTCATTATAAAAGCAAGCGATCTTTGCAGAAGGGCGTTTCACTTTCATCCAGGCAAGATTTATACGTTATGAAATCATCCATGGATAAAGCATAAAATCTCTTACCTATTGGGGAGTATGTATTCAGGAGAACAGCTTTTCGGGAAAAGATAATAACATTACATGATAGGTCCTTAATTCAAATCTTGTGAAAATAAGGTTTACATTTTACATAGCATTTACTAATGGCAATACATGATTTTTCCGTATGGATTTCTCCTTTCATCTGTTATTGAGTTGTTTTTAAAAGACTTGTTTGTAATGGTGTTGTCCTCTGATTCAGATAGTTTTGTCTTCACATCTAGATTTGTAAAGGCACTGGGTAACCCATTATCATTACCACCACAAGTATGTGCTACGTGGAGTAGGTACTATCTTAGACCTAGTTAAGGGCATTAAAAAGAAAATAAGCTTTTTTATACAAAAGATTTAAGCAAGCACACTTAGATAGGAACATTTGCCATATAGTTTGAAATATTCCTATAAATCTCACAATTGAGTAGACAACTATAGTTAATCACATTTCAAAAACTGGTCCTAACTTCTGACAGAAAATCAAAGTTACAGTGAAAAATCCATATCTTCTTGTCCTTCTTTCCACTTCTAGAAAGAAATGACTCAAGCACATCCAGTTTGAAAACCAGCTTTAATTTTTCATGCACTTCTTGTGTTGTGGAAAGTTCCTAAAATCTTTGTGTTCATATTAATAAAGATTTGGTCACAATTCAGGTAGCATTACGTTATAAATCTCACATAGCATTATCACAGCACCACTTTCTTCACTGATATATTAGTGATTCTCTGCTGAAAAATTAGTATCTCAGACTATATGTCAAATATCTAATTTTCCAAAAATAGAGACTGGAAAGTTGATCTTAAGGAAAAAAATTCATTAAATTGAAGAACTTATTAAAGCAACAGTCAGGTGTAGGCTCTAAAAATCTCATTTACAAGACTCATTTTCTAAATAATACATCATTCCCATGGTCCTGGCTCTTAGGCATCACAAGTGACATTTGATACATTTCTGGTGTAGCAAGAGTGGCAAGAAAATAGAACTAGAGAGTTGAAAGAAGTTACGTTGCCAAATTTATGGACTGAATGTAGATTGAATTTTGAAATAAACTGTAAATTGCAAGTGGCCTCCCTTTCCTTTGCTTGGTTGATGTATTCTGTGTTCAGTATTTGTCCTTAACAAATAAAATATGTGAAAACATAAATATCCCCAATGAAGAATATATTTTCTCATTTATTCATGTTTCATAACTGTGAAAATCTGAATAAGTCTGTGTATCTGGTTTTTTTAGCTCGTCACTGATTTCTACCTCCCCGGTGAAACTGTCAGCTTGCACATTCAGACTCTTCTTAAAAAACACAGCCATCATCAGCTTCTCAGACCTGTGGTGCAAAACCCAGGATGGTCCAGTAATACTTAGTCTAGCTCACAAGCTGTCACTTGACAACTATCATTTTAAATTTCCATTCGCGTTTGTCGTCACTGGTTTACCTTTTGCCCTCAGGAAAAGTTCCGCGTTCCTTAGCGTGGGATACAAGTGCACAAATCAGTTTGATTCTGGTTGTAGTCCAGCCTTGCCTCTGGCCACTTAGCCTACACTGACCCCTGGCTTCGGCTTCCGGACAGTTCAGGCTACTAACAACTGCCAAGTGCTCTCACCGGCTGGCGAGCTCTTTCCTCTTTCCGGTGTACTTTGTCCTTCTCCTTCAGGTGCCCGTGTACATACCGCCTCCACCAAAAAGCCGAGAGTATTTTTGCACAAAACTCGGTTATACGTGCTTCAGTGTGATCCAGTAGTTTCATTTTCTGGCGCCGTACCTGTTACTATGTGGGAAACTGCCTGTCTGTCTTTTGGGGAGGTGCGTAGAGTTATACACGATTGTTGAGGAGTAAACCGTATCGTCTTCCTCTTGTCGCTCTGGCACTTGTCCTAGTAGCTTAGGACATGATTGTTAAATGAATGAAGAATGAGGAAACCGGAAGCTCTGATAACCACAAGAATTAGTGTGCTACTGTGAGCAAGTTGTATTTAATAAGAGTGTTGTACTTTGGTGGAACATAGCTGTCTTTATTCTTATTAACACTGATAAAGTCCTCAACACTTTTTACTGGCTTGTGCTTAGTTAACTATGAAATGTTTGACATAGCCAATGCAATTAATCCTTTGTCTTTTTAGATGCTGCTGAATTTAAACCTGAATTCTTTTGAGCCAAAATAAGTCAAAATAAAAATGTCCTCAAGATCTGCTTTTGGAAACATCACAGAAATATGCAGCTATTTTAAAGAAAAATATGATCTAAAGATAAGGTTTTATTTATTGGATTGTTTATACAAAACCTGGTTTTCTATTAACTATATGCTGTGAAAATGTTGGAAAATATTTTATATCATATATACAATAAAAATTCTTATAGCATTTGAAACTCTTTCTTGGTATCTACAACTTCTGAGCAGATTTTGTAAATGGAAACTGGTATTGAGTTTTCCATATTTATGCTGCCTAAATGCTATTTAGCACCTAAACAACCAAGTTGTAATTAAAAGTTTAGTGGACTTAAATATCAGTTTAGTGGTGACTTATTTGTATTTTCTAATTTTTATCACTAAAGATTTAGACAAAATCATTTTGGTGTACTGGTAACAATTATCTGAGTAGGTTTTCAGAAGCATGGAGGTCACTTTTGTGAATTCAAAGTAGAAACTGCTGAACTTGCATTTGGGCCTGTGCGGTGGCCCAGTGGATGGGTGGCCGTTTGGTGTTAGAGGGCCCGAAAATATCAAGGAAAAGATGTCCCCATTAACTAGCAACTTATTGAAATTTTTGACTGTTAGGAATTTTAGGAAAAATACAGCTGTACTTTTCCCTGTTTAGTAGTTACCTGACCCTTCAATAAAAAATCCTGTCTTGATGGAATTTAATTTTTCTTTTTTTTTTTTTCTTCTGCTTTAAACTACTCTCCAACAGTAAATCCTTCTGGTGAAAGCTTTGCCATCCAATCTGTACCTCCCATGAGTACTAGGTAGAAGTTCTAAGCTCACTCTCCTATTTCAAAAGCTCTAGCTTTAAAAAAAAATTCTTTACTTTGATTGCAAATGAAATTGTACGAGGACCAAATCAAATTTCCCCCTAAGGTCGACATTGAACCTAACCATTGAATTTGATTCCGTTCTTATCCAATTCAATTTGTGACCAGAATTGTGGAAAGAGTTAAATTCGTGAACTGAGGTATTACTTTATTTTATAAAGAAGTTAAAGTACAAGAGTGCTGATTCAAGCAGCAGACTCTTTAATGGAATAAAACAGGTCCAGAAGCAAAAATTACAATTTTCATGTAAGATAAAGAGACATTCTATTTTTCTTATGTTCTTAATTTTTTTGCACCTGGAATAAACACTGTTTTTTAAATGACAAAGGAAAACTACCCTGAAATCATTTCTAACATACACCAGGCCTAAAGTAGCTGTGCTTTCTTTAGCAGCACGTCTAGGGGCCCCTCTAAGAGCACAGCGATGCTAAGGGGACTGGCAGAACGTGGGATGTCACAGCTAAAGGGCCCCAGCTGAGGCCTGACTTTCTTACTGTTCACGGTAAGAGAGCCCTTCACACTGGCCTTGTTTGATGAGGATCTTTAACAGTTTCTTGATGTATTTATTTCTAATGAAAAACAATGAGATGAAACCCCCAAACTAACCATATATACTCACGGAAACTGTTAGGTTTGGCACCAGATAAAGAAACAGAGGCAGATAAAACAAGCCTTTATTGCCAGAGCGGGAGCACTGCAGGACATCACAAGGACCCTCGGAGGAGGGAGCTGGGGAGCGGGTTTTTATTAGACTGGACTAGAGGTGGAGTTAATATGGGCCGGCGAGGTGTCTATCTGGAGGGGTTGGGAGTTAGTCGGCGCATGCGCAAAGGGGAGTAGGAAGTTCATCCCAGGGTCTGAAGGAGAACAAAGAAGTGTGTGTCCTGGCCAGCGCCATTTTGGGGATTCCGGATGTCTATCAGAAACACTAAGGTTTTCAACATGAGGTGAGCATATCAAGATTGTGATCCTGTCTAGCCAGAGCAGCAGTTGTCAGCGTTATAATTTCACACATGTTTCTTGTGCCAGGGGGAGGGGAGAGGTTGGGCTGTCAGAGACCCTGGAAATGTGTCCCCTCACAAGGCCAACCCTTTGGCTTGAAGAAGGCACAAAGCAAGCTGGACAGTATTCTTTGCATGTGTCACTGGTTACCTGCTCTCCTCCCGGGTGGACACAGCAGGTTGACTCACAGTGAGCACCCAGGACTCCAGAGCATGTGATAGTCTGTCTGGCACAGTGCTGCCAAAACCCTGGGGATACCAGCTCAGCTTGGCCAGTGTTTTATAAACCACGTGTGACACGTGCATGACGACTGCAGCCAAGTGGCCTGGGTGTGGCCAGCCTCTTTTGAAGCAAGGGGCCCTCCACGTCGCGGTGTCCCTCAGCAGCGAGTCCCAAGCCGCAGTTCCAGGGTGGGAATGCTCACCACATGTTGAAAACCTCAATGTGCCCATGAGTATAGACGGTTAGTTTTGGGGTTTCATCTCATTATTTTTCATTAGAAATAAACACATCAAGAATGCAGATGGCTCATGGAAGGAAAGTGATGTGTTGAGTAAGTGACACACAGGGCAATGAGCATTAATCAGGGAGATTCAAAACCACACCCCTGGCACACAGCTTGTGTAGTGACAGCCAGAGGGGCTTGGGCTTTCTAGAAGCACACCCCTAGTCAGGAATCTTGATCAAAGTTCTCTTAGCCCTGTTGTGAATGTGTCGTTGAGACAGAAGATCCTGGAGGCTTTCATTGTCTTGCAGAAACATCCTGTGGGAAATGGGATTACAGACCTAGCACTGCAGAGAACAGTTCTCTTTTTTAACATCTAACACTGTGTTACTAATAAGCCCTGGATCCTTGCCAGGTGAACCTGGTGTATTGTGAACATATATTCACAATAAAATTCTGAAATTTTCAGTACTGTTTAGAAACATACCTTGCACATGCAGACTGTTTTAAAATGAAAAACAGTTTTCATTGCAAGCATTTCTGCTCAACATTATGAGCAGAAACTGTGATCCAATCAGATGAAAAAATCCATCCTGTCATATCCGAAATGTTTGCATTAAAAATATGTTCTGGAAGGTTAAAAAAAAATCAATACTCCCTGAAAATGTAATCTAAAAACAAGTAAGAATACTTATATTCATGTCACAAAACAGACTTCAAGATAAAAAATTAAAAACTGGTCAGAGGAAACAAGGCCACTACATATGGGTTAAGGGAACAATCCAATGACAAGATATACAATTGTGCCCAATTTCATAAAACAAGCTCTCTGCAACATAAAAGGACACAGGCCCCTGTTGCTGATGGGCTGCTGACCACGGGACTCTCTGGCTGTGTGGGAGAGGCTCAGATTCACAGTCTCTGAAGGCAAGATAAGATGGCAGCTGAGCACGTTTGGCTCTCACTCCTCTTCCAGGGAAATAAACTGCCAACCTCAGAGATAAGACAGTCCTCCTAATTAGCAAGATTTACTGCCTAATCATGTCTTTGTTCTACCTTCCCAAAGTCCTGCTCAGTTTCCTACCTTCACCTCAGCTACTCCCTTTATTGCCCTGCATGCCCTCCAACTTTGTTGAAAAGCCAATAAACACTGGCAGTCTAGAGAAGTCTTTGTCTTAGCCCCAAGAGGATTCTGACCTTCCTGGACCCCAAAATCATATTACTTGTCTCTTTTGTTTAAGCCTTCATTGTACACTTGTTTTAGGAGATTAGGGGCCCACCCAAGCTCCCAGTAGGTCCCAATACAGTAACAGTGGGTTACTTCAAAACTTTCACCAAGAGATAGGCCATTTGGGAAAAAAACTGACAAAGACATATGAGAGTTAAACTACACCATAGGCCAAATGCAGTTCATAGACATATTCAAAACATTCCATCTGACAATGGCAGGATACACATTCCTCTAAAAAGCTGATGGAACTTTCTCAAAACTATATACTATTTTAAACTATAGAGCAAATTTCAATCAATAGGAAAATTTGAAATAATTTAATGTATTCTATCAGACCATAATGGAATGAAACAAGAAATCAGCAGCAAAAAAATGACAGAAGCTGCACAAACACATGGAGATTGAATAGCTCATCCTTTAATGATCAGTGAGTTATTGATGAAAGCAAAGAAAAAATGTAAAAACTCCTAGAGTCAAGTGAAAATGAAAACATAACATACCAGAATCTCTGGGATATGGTGAAGGCAGTTCTAAGAGGGAAATTTATACTTCTGTGTGCCTACATTAAAAAATAACACACTGCTCTCAAGTAACCCAATGGTGCATCTCAAGATCTTGGAAAAAAACAAAAATTAAAACCAAACCCAACAGAAGAAAATAAATAATAAAAATCAGAGATAAAATTAACAAAATGGAGACTAAAAGAATAAAAAGGATCAATGAAACAAAGAGTTGGGTCTTTGGAAGGATTATGAAGACAGATAAATTATTGGCCAGACTAACGAAAAGAAAGAGAAGACCCAAATCAATACCATCAGACATGAAGAAGGAACATTGCAACAGACAACATTGGAATCCAGAGGATAACTAGAGACTAACTTATAAACATAGTCCAACCAACTGGAGAACCTAAAATAAATGCTAAATTTCTGGACACATAAAACCTAACACAACAGAATGAGGAATAAGAAACCTAAACAGAACAATAACAAGCAATGAAATTGAAGCAAGAATAAAATGTCTGATAAGAAAAAAGACTGAAAAGTGAATGGAATCACTGCTGAGTTTTACCAGATCTTTAAAGAACACCAATCACACAAACTAGTTATTAACATGAAAAGGAAAAGGATGCTTCCAAATTTGTTCGGTGTGGCCAAAATAACCCTGACACAAAAACTAGATATGGATACAACAAAAATTTATAGACAAGAGTCTTTGATGAGCATAGATGCAAAAATCTTTAATAAAATTCCTTGCAAACTGGACATACTAAAAGACAATACACCTTGGTCAAGACGGTTTCATTTGAGTGATACAGGGATGGTTAGACATGGGCAAATCAAGAAATTTGATACACCACACAAACAGAATTGGGGATAACACTCACATGATCTTCTCAATGCAGAAAAGCCTTCAACAAAATTTAGCAACTGTTTATAATAAAAGCCCTTAAGGAAGTAGGTACAGAAGGATCATATCTTAGCATAATTAAGGCTACATAGACCCATTCATCATCAACATCATATTGAGTAGGAGAAAACTGAAAACATCTCTGCTAAAATCAGAAGTGAGGCAAGGTTGTACACTTTGCTCCTCTTGTTCTAATAGTTTTGTACCAGTGCTGGTTTTCCTGGAAGACAGTTTTCCATGGATTGGGGGCTGTGGTTCAAGAATGATTCAAAGGCATTACATTTATTGTGTACTTTATTATTATTGCATTGTAATAAATAATGAAATAGTCATACAATATGATAATGCAGAATCAGTGGGAGCTCCGAGCCTTTATTCCTGGAAGTAGATGGTCTCAACTGGGGTAGATGGGAGACAGTGACACCCAATTCCTTGTGTCCAATCTATCGTATATCACAGCAGAAAACCCTACTTCAAAAAGATAGGACATTGGAAAGGGAAGCAGGCTTTTCAATGCTTTTGTGACAACCAGAATATTCTGTTTTGACTTTAATCCACAATGAATGGGGATTCAAAGTTGTCTCAGACATACTATAAGGCAGTGATGGTGAACCTTTTAGAGCTTTCAATGGTAAGAAACAGCCAACTGCAGCATGGGTGCCATAGGTTCGCCCCTATGGCTTTAAGGCCACTGCTACTTGTGATCTCAATCAATTGGCCCTCTTCTAGCATGGACAAAATTAATTCACCTAACTTATTCACAAATGAGTTGCATATGCATTACTTCCCATTTGGAGGGCCTTTTGTGGTTGGGAAGTAATACTCAAACTCTTGAAAGCTGAGAAGGTGATGTCTGGGAGAAAGAAGGCTCTAGCTCAGTCTCTTTCAAAATCTCTACTTCTGTTTGAAAGATAACAAAAATCCCACTATTCACTCATTACCTCAATAGTTCCAATTTGGCTTCAAGTGCATCCCCTTTATCTGCCAGCTTGAACACAATTCTCATTCTTTTTTGAAAGGACACATTGAGTTTGTTGAACACACTGAAGTGTCACATGGGTAAGCAAGTTTTGTTACCCACTCTCTGTCAATGAAATATGCTGTAAATGGTGACGATTTTTCTAAAAGAAATCTCTTGAGCAACTCTCATAACTCAAGAACTGGTCAGTGATCTACCTTTAAAAAGCAATCTCACTTGTGTATGTAAGGGATATGTGTGCTCTGCATCCATACCCTCACAGAGATGAACAAATAGATGTCATTTAGGACCATGTACTTTAACATGGGTTTTTTTTTCATTAAGTTTATTGGTACCATTTAGATATACTTAATGGTCACATTCATCATAGGCAATTTGTACCTGTGACCTAGCTTGATTCTTCTTGTTTCCTATTTCTCTCTGCTCTCTTCAACTTCTCTTCCCTGACTTATTCACAAAGATTTGTTTCTATTTTATCCTTCTTTTCACATTGTTTCTTTTCTCTTCTGTCCTTTACCCCTCCACCCTCCCTAGTTCCCCTTTCCATTTAAACAGTTTCTTCCTATTTCACAATATCTTTTATAAACTTTGGTCATTATTTACACTTTCAGTTTCTCACACCAGAAAGGCAATGTGATATTTACATGTTTGTCTGTTTCATTTCACTTAAGAGTATGGTCTCAAAGTCCATGCATTTAGCTGTAAATGTTTCAAATTTATCCTTCTTTATGGTTGAGCAGTACTGCATTGTATTTTTAAAAACTCACGTTTTCTTTATCCATTCATCAGTTGGTGGGCATGTGGATTGTATCCAAGAGCTATTATGAACTGTGCTACTATTACTACATAATAGCTACTAGCTATTATGAGTGTGCACATA